CCGCCCGGGATACCGAGGAAGGGCCTCCCCCTAACGTGTACACAAGAGTCTCCACTTTCATCGATTGGATCCAGGATGAAATGGGTCGGCTGCAGCCCTGAGTCCCTGCAGGGGTCACTGAACAGCCCGGCTCCCTCGCTCCTTTGTCTTGGAGAGGCCCAGACATCAGGCCTGCTCAGCAGAGGGGACGAATGCGCACGCCAAGGTGCCCCATGCCGGACTACCTGCACTAAAGAGGAGTCTCTGCAGGGCCTGGAGGCAGAAGGTCCAGACCTGGCTGCGCATGCAGACCAGACCCTGACCCCCCTCCTCCAGGGGGAGGGACAAGACCCCTGCAGAGACCCAGTGCAGTCCTGGCCAAAAGAACTCCAAAGCTGCCCTCTGGAGCTTGGTCAGGACCTCCGGGGCCGGGCGCAGGGTGTTGAACCGGTGCCAGAGCATGGACAGGACCAGCTGATTTAGCACCAGCGCTCTCCCGCAAAGGGAGAGACACCGGAGCAGTCCCGTCCATCTCCGCAGCCGCTCACCCACCCTGACCTCCAAACCTTGCCAGTTTTCCCCCGGGGTGTATCCACTGCCCACTCCAAACACACCTGGTCCTGGACGCAGCCAGGCCAGCGGGAGGGGAACTCCAGGATGGGTGCACTAATCTGCTGCCAATCAAACATCAGTTCTGATCCTCCCCTGCCCCAGTCGCCAACCCTGCTGCATTTTGCTCAGCTCCCCATTGCTAGCCAGTAATAAAGTCAAGTTGCAAAAGATTTGCGTATTGACGTATCCACCCAGAGCTTTCCCCTCCAGAGCAGTATCTAGACCTGCCCAGGACCGGAGGGGACGGATCTTGTGGGGAGGCTGGTCTGATGGTGATGTCATGCACAGTGAGGATCTGGGAGTGCGGGTGGCACCTGAACTCCAGGAGGCGGGAGGTTTCCCTGGGGCTGGGATGGGAACAATGGTTACGCAGAGGAGAAAAGCAACTTGTGCCATGACTTGTCCTGACTCCTGAGGCCGCTACATCTGGAAAACTGGGGAGGGGTTTGAAGCAATTCTAGCTGTAATCAGATCTAAGCTTCCAATTCGCATCCACCCATCCGGGCATGCATCCGTCCATCCCTGTACCTCTATCTACCCTATCCCACAAGGGATGCTTCTCAGAGTTCATGCAGGCTGTGACTGAAAACCAGGGCCAGTTCATGGACATCTCAGTGGGGTGATCAGGGAAGGTGTGTGACACAGGTGTGTTCTGTAACTCGCACGTGTTTCAGAAGCTGCACCCAGGGACTTTCCTCCAGCCTGCAGCAGCAAGGTGGGGGCCATGGACATGCCCAATGCCTGGTGGAGGAAGCAGCCCATCCCCTACAGCCATGGCTCGTGAAGCCCTATCCGGCCACTTCAACCCCTCTCAAGCAGTATTGAATGCCAGGCTGAACCAGCCCCAAATAGTTGTTGAGGGCACCTTTGGCTGCCTGACAGTGCGGTTCAGAGGCTTCCTCACTTGCCTGGACTTCAGGGAGCACAACCTCCCATGTGTGATGGCTACGTGCTGGGTCCTGCACAACATGTGTGAATGGAAGGGGGAGGCCTTCCTGCTTGGGTAGAGTCTGAGCACAAAGGCAGGGCCTATGAGCAGCTGCACACAACCGCCATCGGGCAGGCCCATCAGGGGGCCAGGCGCATCCAGGAGGCCCTGAGGGAGAGCTTCTCCCCGGGGGACCAGTGACACTCTCCAATGTCCTCTCGGGGCTTCTGCTTCACCCCTCACTGCCGTCCCTCCCCTTACGCCTCCCTTGCCCCTGCCCCCCTTTTCTGAAGAAAAAAGAAAAGGCACTTTTGTTCTGAAAACATTTTTGCTACGGGGTTAAAGAAACTGGGGTGAGGCTGGGGAAAGAACCCAAGAGAGGGGAGGAGAGAGGGTAGAAGAACGAGGGTGTTGAGAACCATGCAGGAAGGAGCTGGAAGGGAGAGGAAGGGGGAGGAGAGGTTCTGGGTTGGGGCTGGGAGGGATGCCGGGCTCTGTGCAGCCCACCACCATGTGTGCGGGGGCCTCAGCGGGGGAGGGTATGGAGGAGCTGGAGGAAGAAGCGGTAGTGGGAGAAGGAGTGGGAGGAGGAGCGACAGCTGGAGAGGGAGCAGAGTTTGGAGGGGGAGAGGGCAGCACGCTCTGCACAAGGGAGGGGAGATCATTGCACAAGCAGCTGCCCCAGCTCTCCCACCGTAGCCAGAGCTCCTCCTGGACCCAGTCCTGCATGGTTTGGTGCAGTGCTCAGAGTACCCCCAGGTGCTCCCCCAGCTCTCCCACCATAGCCTGAGCTCCTCCTGGACCCAGTCCTGCACGGTTTGGTGCAGTGCTCAGAGTACCCCCAGGTGCTGTCGCTGGGACTCGGCCACAGAGGTGAAGGCCATTGATGGCTATTAGCCAGGCTGGGTAAGGAATGGGGTCCCTAGCCTGTTTGTCAGAGTGTGGAGATGGATGACAGGAGAGGGATCACGTGATGATTTCCTGCTCTGTTCACTCCCTCTGGGGCAACTGGCGTTCGTGTGTCAGAAGCCCCCTGAGAGGG